TCGAAGATTATTAATTTATCATCAGACGGTGAAACTTGAGCTCACACCAATGATAATGGTTTGAAAACCAATCTGCCAAAGGTTACTAAAAACTGAAATGTAATCAGATGCTAAAATAAATAAACACAAAAAGTATGCGTATAACCAGTTTCTGTGGCGATACAATGTATCAAAAGTTAATAATGAAAGTAACTTTTACAGGAATCTTTTTCTATAAAACCGATAATATGCAAATGCCTCTGGATTTTTCTTGGTTTGGTTTTTGCTAGGATTTTCATGCTTCTGATTTCCCTTGTGTTGTCTTGGTCAAGAATCAAATTGAGATTGATTTCACTTGTGTCGCTTATAATAAAATAAGTCATCATGTGTTACATTGCTTTGTCGGACATATGGAATGAATTTGCACCAAGAAATTTAATCGTACACCATTTTTATTTTGTGTTCGTGATTTTATCAACTCGCAGAATAATTTTTCTGCAATACCTCCATATTTCTTTTGTTTTATGACACCTAACTCTGTAATACTGGTGAGCATGCAAGTCTCTCAGACTAATATCACTTTCGTAATTTCTGTTTTTATTATCAGCTTATAAGGAATATAACCAAGATTAAGATATTCAAAATCAGGAGTTAGCAAGGCATCGTGGTTTTATTTTCACCCACACACTTCTTTCCTTCTGCTGTACCTTGTTAATATTAATATAACAGAATCTTCTTTACCACAAATGTATAAGATTGCTAGCCTGTCACTATTCTCCTGGTAATTCAGATGTGTATCATTCTTTGGTTCCACTAGTTCATTCTTTCACAGGTAGCATAGCCTAGGTAACTCGATGGAGTCAAATCATTCTCCTTTCGTACATTTTGGAAATTTAAGAAAGTCCTTCACAGACAATTTTTCGCCGATATTTGCCACTTTAAGAGAATAAATCCCGCCTTGGTGATTCCCTGGACTATACAATTTTAACCTATTTAATTCAATGGTCAATTATTATATTTCCTCCCTTTTTACATAATTTTCACTTCCTGCAAACTTGTCTTTCATTCATACCACAAACCTACTCATTACCATTTTGAATGTAAACCTGTACTTTGCGTGGCTCACTAGCCTTATATTAGGTGAAATTTAGTAAAATAAAAATTAAATTATGAATATTACGACGGACCTTAGATCATTTAATTTTTAGCAAATTCAGTCTCATGTGTGTCCAAACTTCTGCTCTGTTTCCCGATAAAACAAAACGCAGTAATCGCTAAGAAAGAAAAAGCTGTAATTTTAAAAACGTAGTAATTATTTATAATTCCTCAGAGTTTATTTGAAGTTTTTTTCTCATTGTGTATATTACTCTTTCTTCTTAAATTCCCTCCGCCTTGCTTCGCAGTCTTTTTTCCCTTAGAATTTCTTGCTTCTTCTTTTTTATTTCCTTATCTATTTCTTTTTTTTTTTATTTCTTCTTATTGTGCTTCATTATTTTTAACAAATTTTAAGATCCGGAATAAAAATAAACATTTTCCGAGGATCAAGTAATCTGAAACCTCCACATCCGTTCAGCACAATATATTTCTCAATATTAGTCATGTTGCGGTCAAAATAGTTTCAATTCAAGGTCTGTTGCAGCGTTTATATATTTTATGTAGACTTTCAATCTCAGTCTGGTGTAATGAGGATATGTCATGGTTAACAAGTATTTTAATTTTTTCCGTATGATTTATTATATCTGGCCAATGATACTGAAGAGAATATTTGGTTTCTATTTTCCACTATTCTCTTTCATTGGCTTTAGTTTATACTCTTACTCTCTGTTCTCCTCGCCAAATCCAAATCGCAGCATGACCAAACACATTTATTAATAAAATATCAATAAAAGTGACAAGAAAAGACTTAAGAGATATATCAATATGAACACATGTATTGATATTTAAAAAAAACATGCAACATAGAAACATCAATATATACATTTCCATATCTCATTCTCTGATGAAGCTTTATTAAAAGTGAAATATGTTAAATTGATAAACGTTTCCTATTTGTCCTTTATCATATATATATATATATATATATATATATATATATATATATATTGAGAAAAATATATGGAAAAACAAAAATCCGAATATGCAATTATGCTGTTTTAATGTTAATTTAATATCGACGTCAGATCGACATCTTCCCAATAATAAACCTGTCTTAAAAAAAAGTTTACCCACGAAATTTCTTAAAGGCCGACATTCAAAAACACAAAAGTTAAAGAAAGTTTCCCCATCAAAGACGATCAACTAATATCGAAAGCGTTTGGAAACAGAAATTAGGGTTCTTATTTCACCAACTAGAAGCTGACACGAAGATCGCTCTATACATGGAAAGAATTTAAAAAAAATAGATTATCAAAAGTAAAATGTCCATGATATTTAAGGATACATGCCTAAATAGCCATTTTCAACCAAATATATGCACTATATATTTTTTCTCCTTGTTTTCTTTTTCTTTTCTCGCTGTTCGAATTGTTATTTTGTCAATTTAATATTTACCAAAGTATTCTTCTGACGAATTTTTGGTTGAAAATTATCCTTAAAGAAAAATGTTTCCCTACCTTTTTCAAATCTCTCTCTTTCTTTCTTTCTTTCTATCTATCTATCTATCTATCTATATATATATATATATATATATATATATATATATATATATATATCTCAGACCGAAAAACAATGCCTGTTTGTGGTGTACTGAATATTATAATCGCTAATTCTTTCATTAATAAAGAGTGACATCATTTTACTAATATATATACTTATTGATTTTTGCTTCATGTTCCTATTCTTATGGAGGTTTTACTTTAATGATTTAAACAGAATTCTTTATAATCGTCATTTCTCAACATAACATTGTAGTCAATGGAAGCAAATTGCTCATTGAATATGTATGGCCTTACATTGTAAAATAACATTCATCAATACAATTAGTAGTTATCTAATAATCTACATATATAAAAGGTAATTTGTATAAACACACAGGAACACACACACTATATATATATATATATATATATATATATATATATATATATATATATATATATATATATATATATATATATATGGATTTTCTGATTATTATGTTTGTTTACGTCAGAGTTTCTCATTATTCTTCTACTGAAGTATAAATAATAATTGTTCAATGCTGAATAGAAAGTTATTGTTTAGTGCAATATTCAGGAAATATTGATCATAATAAAAGAATCTTTACATTACCAGATTTCAACGGTAAATTGCCATCAGTTTCTTTTTATATATTAGATATATATATATATATATATATATATATATATATATATATATATATATATATATATATATATATATATATATATACAGAGACAGACAGACAGATAGATAGATAGATAGGAATGATATGGAAGGAAAATAGCCTGAAATAAAACTACAATATATGTACAGACTTTCGATCCATGCTTGGTTATATTTGGATCGTGTTATTGATTTTACACTAGATTCTATAGAAAAGATGTCTCACACAGGAATTTCCCGAACATTGCTGCGAGACAGCACAAATTTTTTTGAAAGATTTCGTCCGATTTGCTTACTATTTAAATATCGATGCCGTAGAGAAACTTGTCGATTTATTTTGATATGGATTTTACTCTTTATAACCGATTGCCCACTCCTGTCTTAAGGCATGACATAAATATCTGGTTGAGCTGGACTATTCGTCGTGCTTTAGTCAATAGTAAGCTATGATCACATGACATTAGTTATAGTCGATCCTTATTGGGTACTCTACATTTATTTCAATAAAATGAAAGCAACGTTACCAACTCTAATGAAAACCCGAGACTCGTACGTAACATTACATTTTATTTACCCCCGGGGTCCTCCCTGTATATTCTCGTCTGGTGGCAAGAAAACCTTTCCTTTCCTTCCTAAAGAAGTGTTTATATATCCGCCTATGTTTTATTTTTTTTATCAGGCGTGCATATTCTAGGAATCTGTAGTTTCGACCACACCTTTTTACTTTTGTACATGGCAGTAGATTATTACATTATAGTATCCTCAAAAATCAAAACGTATGTTCCTTGCACACAGTTTTGTCTTTTAACCGAACCGTGGTGAGGTTGGCGAAATGCGTCGTTTATAAATTTTTCCACTTTGTTTCATCATCTCCACAAAGTTAATCATACTGACCTTTAATACTGTTGCTAGTATGATCATTACTGAATGATCCATGTTCTATCTTTCTACCAGACAAAACGAATTTTTGTAAATATTCATGGGACATTCTCTGTGTGGTTATGCTTATCGAACCTTCACAATAGATTAGAAATATGTAATTCTTTCGATTATAAAAGAGTAGTTCCATAATTATAGCGTTGCTGTGGGCTAAGATACAGGAAATATCAACAAAGATGGTCAAATGAAGATCTAAACTATTGGTCGGAACATCAAAGGCACAAGGTCAAAGAAGAGGACCCAGACTATGCACAACAAACCCTAAAGACACCAACAGTGGAACAGGCGGATGTCGATTAATACAGATCTCAACGGTTGGACTAACGGATGAAGACGGCTACGCATTACGGACATGCTACAGAAGGCGTCAATCCAAATTATATCACAACGACAGTCCGTTGAAGTTTCATCACTGGATTCAGCATGTCTCATTATATAAGTGCTACAGAGTTAGTTAAATAAAGTGTATAGGTCATACGTGAAAAGTTGCGGTCCACCTTAAACAAATTCATGCTACTGGATATTTCTTTTGTGATTTTGTTTCACCTCAAAACAAATTTTGCAAAGCCAAACGATGATAGTTTCAGTGAAACTGGAAACTTCTAGTCCTAAACCTGCACGTTGGCGGTGAATTTAGTCAATAATGCCATCACCATAAAGGATGCGATTAGAAAAGAAGCAATTAAATTCTTGGGTACGAGATAAATCCAAGAACAACGACGACACTGGCTATCAGCAAATACAACCCCGTCAGATCAATGGTAAACAAGTGCCATAGAAGGCGCAGGTTAGCCAAAAAAGGCCAAATCCTATTGTACACGTCAGAACTGTGCCGACAAAAAGCTATGTGAAGGTAGTTTGTAATCTGTGGGCGTTGAATTCTGAGTGTGATTGTTTGTTTTAATGTTTCATACCAAACCGAAAGCGTGCGGAAAAGAGCAATCATATTTTAGAAATATAACAGTGAAAACGCATCTCTCTTGTCAGATTCCTTGAGGAATTGTGATATACTGCAGAGTGAAACAGACCCCACCCCCTGTGAATGCAAGTACTTGGCCACAACCCGTTATCAATTTTCTCTATCTCCATCTCTCGCTTCTTAGATGCTTCTACCATTTGCCTCACTTCCTGAAATAACGTAAGCAAAAATTGTAATCCGAAGAAATGTGTTGGCCTTTAATTCAGTGTTTGATGCAAAGTTGGATTCCCGATATGACGAATTGCCGTAGAGCCCGAGAACCCTAGACGACATACAGTGCACCAAATCACGAGTGAGTCTACGGGCAGATAACTTATTTGGAAAGTAAAATCAGTGGAAAATCAGTTCATCAGAACCTGTCTTGCACATTTATAAATCTACCATTTGTCTATTCATTGAATACTGCTACTATATCTGGTCTCGTGATTCTGCTGTATATCTTGAGATTCTTGATAAAAAAAAGATCCAAAGAATGTCTGTAATTTTATCGATCTCGACCAGGCATCACAACTTCAGCTATATTTTCACCGACGTGAAAAGGCCTCTCTCTGTCTTTTTTAAAAAATACTTTCATGGCAACTGTTCTGATAAGCCTTTATCCCTTTTCGACTACATGAATTTAAGTGTACTACTAGATTGAAATGTAGCTTTACTGTTGAACTAACGACATACAACTGCTTCTTCTACGCTAACAGTTTCTTCTCTCACACTTCTCACCTGTAGAACTAGCTTCCAATTTTTTGCTTCTTTCATAATTAAAATCTTCAAAAATTGAAATGCAAAGTCATTCTCCATCTGTTCCTTTTTTGTCTTTTCGTCAGTCCTCTGCATTTTCAATATTCTCATTCGCTTTCCTTTTCACTCCATTTAACCCCCTGTGTTCTACTGGCACCATTGCTTTGGTTGGAGTGAAGCTATAAAAGCATCGACCTATACACAATTGGGCATAAAAGATTTTAGATATTTTATTGGCTGTTTGCAAACGAACGTAAATATTAGCTCGATATACCCCAGCCATTTATTGCATAATGAAAAACTTTTATATTATTAATAAAGTATGTTATATGTTTAACATAATTATTCACCCTTTACAGAACTCCCACATCAAAATGGTGGACTGCTTATTGTGAACGCAGTTGAATATTTTGTACAAATATATGTTTTGCTTAAGTTGAATAATGATGTGTTTACGTGATAATACTTTCATTGTTTATATATTACAAACTGTTTAATATCAAAAGTTTAACTGCATGGACATAGTAGGCTCTTATTGTTATGTCGTGAGGTTGAACTACACAATTATTTGGAGTAGGCTTCATTGACTAATTTACTTCGGTAATGAGTTCGAGTATTATTGTTATATAGTTATTTAAAATTAAATAGATTACATCAAGATGTATTATTGCTCACTCCACACTTTCCAAAATTGATCGAAATAAATATCATTTATACGTTTTTCGTTGTAGGAAGTGGGGGGGATCATTTTCCCTCCTTCATCCTCTTTTCTATGTAGGAAGGGGGGTCATTTTCCCTCCTTCATCCTCTTTTCTTTGTAGGAAGGGGGGTCATTTTCCATCCTTCATCCTCTTTTCTTTGTAGGACGGTGGGTCATTTTTCATACTTCATTCTCTTTTCTTTGTAGGAAGGGAGGTCATTTTCCCTCCTTCATCCTCTTTTCTTTGCAGGAAGGGGGGGTCATTTTCCCTCCTTCATCCACTTTTCTTTGTAGGAAGGCGGGTCATTTTCCATCCTTCATCCTCTTTTCTTTGTAGGAAGGGGTCATTTTTTCTCCTTCATCCTCTTTTCTTTGCAGGAAGGGGGGTAATTTTCCCTCCTTCATCCTCTTTTCTTTGCAGGAAGGGGGGTCATTTTCCATCCTTCATCCTCTTTTCTTTGTAGGAAGGGGGGTCATTTTCCCTCCTCCATCCTCTTTTCTTTGTAGGAAGGGGGTCATTTTCCCTCCTTCATCCTCTTTTCTTTGTAGGAAGGTGGGGGTCATTTTCCATCCTTCATCCTCTTTTCTTTGTAGTAAGTGGGGGTCATTTTCCATCCTTCATCCTCTTTTCTTTGTAGGAAGGTGGGGGTCATTTTCCATCCTTCATCCTCTTTTCTTTGTAGGAAGGAGGGTTATTTTCCATCCTTCATCCTCTTTTCTTTGTAGGAAGGTGGGGGGTCATTTTTCTCTCCTTCATCCTCTTTTCTTTGTAGGAATGGGGGTAATTTTCTCTCCTTCATCATCTTTTCTTTGCAGGAAGGGGGTCATTTTCCATCCTTCATCCTCTTTTCTTTGTAGTAAGTGGGGTCATTTTCCATCCTTCATCCTCTTTTCTTTGTAGGAAGGGGGGGTCATTTTCCCTCCTTCATCCTCTTTTCTTTGTAGGAAGGGGGTCATTTCCCTCCTTCATCCTCTTTTCTTTGTAGGAAGGGGGGTCATTTTCCATCCTTCATCCTCTTTTCTTTGTAGAAAGGTGGGGTCATTTTCCCTCCTTCATCCTCTTTTTTTTTTTGTAGGGGGGGGGTCATTTTCCATCCTTCATCCTCTTTTCTTTGTAGGGAGTGGGGGTAATTTTCCATCCTTCATCATCTTTTCTTTGTAGGAAGGGGGTCATTTTTCCTCCTTCATCCTCTTTTCTTTGTAGGAAGTGGGTCATTTTCCCTCCTTCATCCTCTTTTCTTTGTAGGAAGGGGGGTCATTTTCCATCATTCATCCTCTTTTCTTTGTATGAAGGGAGGGGGTCATTTTCCCTCCTTTGTCCTCTTTAAAAACCCTATCTCTACTTTATTGCTATGTCAATGGCAAATTTTCGGACGAGTTACATTTTCAATTTCACCTCTTTAGACATTTACGATGTTAGAAATACACCAAGGCCGATTTGTGCAAGACAGTTTATATGCCACTATAAGTTTATTTGTAATTTTAATAAAATGAACTCTATGTGGCATCAAGCAACACGGGTATTTCACTATACTGAGGAATAGCCAAACATGACTAGCTTGATAAAAATCGGTATACGGCAGTGACTCAAATTAACTTTGTTCTTCGCATGATAGCATGAAAGTCGAATGGACGTGCCAAGTCAAAGTTCTGCTTTAATACTCTTGACAAAGCAAGAAGTAATCTCTTCCTCCTACCCCACGACGAATTAAAGAGCAGGAAAAACTGGGATCACTAACTTTGGGTAGAAGCCAGTTTGTCGAAGTAATATTCTGAATTAGATAAAACAAGAAGATAACGGGAAACTAAACCACCGCACCAGTTCATGTCAGTTATTACTCCTTTTTCCTGAGACCATGTAACCTGGAACAGAATGTCACATGTTGCTTGGATACGAAATAGGCGTGTGGTTTGCTCTTTCAAATACAAGAATGACAATTGCACATTATGGCACACCAATGATCGAGGTCAGGGTTTTTTCACATTTTTCTTTATCATTCAACTAACTGCAAGGTATTTGAAAAAAAATCTCCGAGAATTTATTTGTCCAAGCTTAGTCTCCTATAGGGAACCTTGACATTGCCTTAGATTTACATGCTATGTTAACACCGCCTTATTTATGCGTGTTTTCAATGTGAATAGCGTAGATTGATCTTCCAATGTAATTGTTTGGTGACATTGAATGTCATTCGGTTGGAAATCGAACTTTTTCTTCTTTACTTACATTCAGCAGTGATTGTGAGAATAAGTGGCTGCTTGGCTGGAGACTTACAAATGTAGATAATTGTTGAGTGCAATGCAATCAGAGGCAATAGAAAGACTTCAGAGAAGAAATCGGGGAGAGGAGAAGGTCAAAGTAATGAATTGAGCAAAGCAGAAGTATAGTTTGGAGCAAGAAAGGAAGAAAGAAAATTGAATGACAAGAGAAAGAGAATGATACATGAAGACAAAAGAGAAAGGAAGCGGTTATATAAATAGAGCAATGAAGCCAAAATGAAAAGCATGACAAAGACATAATGATAAAAGTTAAAGCAATAAAAATGAAAGAAAATTAAGAATAAAACGAAAATGAATGAAAACAGAGACAAGGCATAAAAGTAACAATTTACGTAAGGAGAAAAGGAAAGAAAGAAAAACGAAAGAAAGAAAAAGAATGAAAGAAAAAAGAATGAAAGAAAAAAAAAGAAAAAAACGAAAAAGTCTGAAAGAAACAAAAGGAAAAAGAAAAAAAAGGAATGGAAGAAGGAGACATTAATGAAACGAAATTATAATAAAGAAAGAGAGGCAAAAAATCATAATGAATAAAAAAAATTAAATAAAGAATAAATAATAAAGAGAAATTAATGTTATACAAAATAAAAAAATATATATATAAGAAAGGAATAATTAAAATAGATTAATGCAAAACGAAGTCAAGTCATCATGGTAGATTAGATGGATTCGTGTTTCCTCCGGGCTGACAATTTTATGCCTTCAGGCGCAGCTAAAAAGATAATTTTCAAATAAAATAATTTTGAAAGCTAATTTTTAAATTATCACCACAACTTGTACTATAGGCGCAACAAAGTCTTCATTCAAACTTTCCAACATTCTATTTATTTTGTTGTACAAAATTAAGTTATTCAAATATGATTAACAAAAGCAAAACGGATTCTTGGTTCAGATAGATACGTTTTGATCATCAGCGCTCGCAATCAATGTTAGTGTTTAAGATTACGAACCCTAAACTATATAGATAGACAAATATCCCTATAATGTTAAGGTTTCTCCATACTTATGCGGAAGAAGTCTCTGTTTATGTAATATCAATAACCAAACAATATTATCTTAATGCCACTTGTCTTGTTTTTTATTTTAATAATAACAACATTTTGTTGTTAATATCTAAGCCAGGTAGGTAGTTATCGAAGAATATTTTAAATTCTCACTAATCAACTCTATTCATGCCTAGCCTTCTGAACGGGGGCCAAAGTGCAGTATCTGATGTCGCGAGGTGGCGGGGGGAATAAACTACATTTAACGCTCACTTGTGTCTCCCTCATTGCACTAAAAGGGGATGATCGGTATTAATACAGATGCCAGTGCAACATATGATTGCGCGGGGCGGGGGTAGCCTATTTTGGTGCCTGGCTCTGGTACACTCATTAATCCTCCCTCACATTGAACTGACCTTGTGTCACATCTTATCAACGTGGGGTGACAATTAAATATTAAGTATAGTATATGTTCGCCACTTACTAGCTGTGTTCCTATCTTCCAACAGTTCACGGTAAAACTCTGGGAGATACCTGATCTCAGATACCTGATTTCAACTGTGCGATAACACCTTCCTCAGTACACTAATGAGGGAGAATTAATGGAATGACAATCAGCATGACAGTAGTTGCGGGACCTTGGCAATTTTTGTCCTTGGCCTATATATACGTGCCTTAGGCACCCCGCATTAATAACAACTATCTTCGAGCAGTTCACGGAAAATTTTTAATGTATGGCAGCGTGACAGTGGTCGCAAGGAGTAGGCATTTTTCCTTTTGCATATATGTATTGGCACCTCACATTAAGCCAACCTTGTGTCATATTCTGCCAGCGATCGGAGGTGAATAAATATCGGATAAAGGCGTAGTATCTGGTCTTTCTTTCTATGAAAGATGAGGGATGCCTGAACCCGTAAAATTTCAATCTTGTGAACGTATCACTTTACTGCACTCAAAAAGGAAGTACTATATTAAGCCGACTGTCACATCGTACAACTGTGGGAAGGTGTGTAAAAAATGGCCGTCTTTACGTGGCTTTCTAGTATATGTTCTCTTTTTCTCTGACGTGTTTCTGCTATCAAGCCAGTTCATTCTAATGCGTATTCGCGGGAATTCTAACTCCGTGGTATTAGCTCCTTTATTGCACTAACGACGAAGGATTGATGCCTATTGATCATTTGTCACATCCTGTCAACAAAAGGAAATTTGTAAATACTATTTTTCGGACTAGGATCACACTGTAATATTTCTTCTTATCTGCTGTGCCCCGGGAATTCCAAACTTACAGCTTTATATTAAGTGGAAAGAGTAGGTAGTCATTGACATATGCGTAGCAGTGGTCTGGCAATGGTCTGGGCAATTAATGCTCGTGGTAATGGTCTGGGCAATTTTCGTTCTTTATTCCCACGTATGGGCAAACCAGGTTAAACCGATCATGTTTCAAATGCTGCATCTTCTGCGGATGGTGGTGAGTCAAATGCAGGATAAAGACTGAGATTCCCGCGAATATGCATTAGAATGAATTGGCTCGATAGCAGAAACACGTCAGAAAAAAAAGAGAACAGATACTAGAAAGCCACGTAAAGACCGTCAATTTTTACACACCTTCCCACAGTTGTACGATGTGACAGTCGGCTTAATATGCTGGTGTTCATAGTCTTACATATGGTCAAGGTACAAAAACTTCCCAATCCACATGACCATAGCCACGCTAACGTCGGTATCCAACAACCACCCTGTTTGAGGCGACGTAGATTCATGACTCCTAAGTGCATGAAAGGAACTTTGCTTAGGCTTTTTATTTTTGTGTTGCATTTCTTTATTCCGTATCTCCTTCCAACACCAAGTTGGAGGAAGAAAAAAGACCTAACGAAAAAATGGACCAGAATTAGAAAAGTAGTCAGAGAAGACCAGATATCAACCACACATAATATCGAATTGAAATGAAAAATAAAGGAGACATGCAAGAAAATTCTAGAATTTAGACAGACAAAGAAAAACAAAAATTAAGAAAGATGTTAAGTCAGATAAGAATAAAGAGCGAATCAGAAATGGAATTAAACGCTACGACGAACGTAGAAAGTAATGAAGAAAAAGTAAAGAAAATTAACTTTTTATTTCAGTTCTTTGCCATTTACTCTTAATTCCGGATATTGGATACCGTATATAAGAAAAATGATTTAAAAGTTTCATTTCGCGTCTCAGAAGCAATCACGATTTCACCACCCGATCCCCAGGCCAGTTTTTGTCAATGAGAGAAAATTGTTCTCAAAAATGACCGATATTCTTAAAGAAAATTTACTTTTGCTAAGATAGCAAACTGTAAGTTCTATATTAGAGAATTGGTCTTTCTCACTAAGGTTATTCCTGCGTTTTTTATATTCATCCTTATCTTTCTCTAATCTTAATCTTCCTGTTCACATTTCTATTCCCCTCCTGATTGTCCCTTGTTAATTTTTATCCGACTTATCCTACATATGAACTTGACTTTTTTTTCTCGTCCAGCTGCTCAATTTTCTTTTACTCGGTAGCAAAGTTTTTTTCTTTTTATTTGTCATAAATTGACTGTAATTTTACAGTGTCCGATCCGAACATATTTTGAGGCTATTAATTTATTTTAAAATGGACAATATCTTTCTTGTCTATCAACGTAGGTTTTTTATTCAACAATTGATCAAGCTGAGTTAAATCTGTAACGAGTATGCTGCTATTTTGGGTTGTTTTATAGACAGGATTATCAAAGTAAACCATATACACAATTCTCTCGGCCATCGATAAAAAAAAAAGTGTCGGATTGAATACAAAGTTTGTCAAAAAGCCCCAAATACGGCTAATGTATGTTTGTCAAAAGGCCCCAAATACTGCAGGTAATGAGAATCGAACTTACGACTCAGTTTTAATGATAAACCAGATTAGCTCAATAATCATTACCCACAAGGAAGTACCCAAAATGAACTGAAATAGACGTGTATTAGATTGTGCTGTGTTTGCTACATATATACGGAAAGTCTCAGTATTATTTGCCGTCAGTACAGGTATATAGTCAGATGCGTCCAGCGTATCATATTGCAAAA